CGTGGGACCGTCCTTGGGCCCACTTTGCTCGCCAGAGGCCCACCGAGGGTCCGAAGGAGAGACCCGGGACGGCCCCAAGAGCCCCCCCCCAAAGAGGGGCACTCGTGAACCTACGTTGTGCCTCCTGGAGCCAGTTCGGGACGACTTCAAGGAGGGCTGGCCCCGGGACGGTCCCAAGATGCCCCCTAGAAGAGTCGCACTCGTGAGCCTACTTGGTGCCGCTTTCCCCTGGCCTTGGGGTACCCCGCTGGGGTTCAACCAGCTTGGAACTTCTAGGGCTTGCCGAGGCCGACTCCGAAGGCTCTCAGAGGCTCCCTTCAGGCCCGAAGGTGGTTCCAAGAAGCCTAGGACGTTCCCAAGAGACCCCCCCATCAGAGGCACACGCGCGGATGTATTTTGTGATTCTTTCCAATGCCTGTTTCTTGTGCCCCCTTGGAGCCATCCTTGGGCAAACCTCGGACCGTCTTGCAGCTCCTTGCCCTTCCCGGGCCGTCCCCGAGGGATCCTCCTGGCGTCTTGACGCCTCTTGGGGGATCGTCGGTGCCTCTGGGGGACTCCTGGGGGCCTCTTGGGGGGTTCATCGGTGCCTGTGGGGGCCTCTTGGGGGGCATCTTGGGGGCCGTCGTCGGGGCGAAAGCTCCGAAGGTTCATTTGCCTTCCCCCTAATGAGTCCGTTTTGGGGCCATCTGGTATTTTTTTCGGGTTGTTTTGGGGGCCTCTTGGGCCGTCTGTGGGCCCGCTTGAGAACCCCTTGGACAGTCTTGGGGCGATCTTGAGGACCTCTTAGGCCGTCTTGTACTGTTGGAAGCCCGAACACGTTATTGCCAGGATCTCTCCGAAACCGAAGGGGGATCAATTGATTTTTCATCTCGGGCCGTTTTCGAAGCGTTTGTGGGGCCCTCTGGGGGCGTCTTGGAAGCTTCCTGGGCCGTTTGAGAAGCCCCTTGGGCTGTCTGAGACCCCTCGAGATCGTCTTCAGGGTGGCTCGGGGCCGTGTTGGGTCGCTTTGACGGCTGCCTGGTCGCTCTCGGATGCGATTTTGGGCCCCCGGGGGCTCTCGGCACTCACATTCGACATCGGGGTCCTGGTCCCAGGGCCGGGGGCCTGGTCCCCCGATGTGCGTTTACTCGTAGGGGGAAGAGGTGGGCGGCGCAGGAGTATGAGTATGAGGAGGAGGAGGAGACGAAGGAGGAGGAGGAGGATGAGGAGGAAGAGGAGGAGGATGAGGAGCAGGAGGAGGAGGAGCAGGATGAGGAGGAGGAGGACGAGGAGGAGGAGGAGGAGGATCAGGAGAAGAACAAAGGAGGCGAAACGAGAACATGATGATGCTGATGATGATGATGGTGATGGTGATGATGACGATGATGATGATGATGATGATGATGATGATGATGATGATGATGGTGATGATGATGATGATGATGATGATGACGAGGAGGAGGAGGAGGAGGAGGAGGAGGAGGATGAGGAGGACGAGTAGGAGGAGGAGGACGATTGGGGCGGCAGGGGAAGATGAGGAGAGGGACGGGGACGGGACGAGGGAGAGAGAGGTAGGCGGGGACGGGACGAGGGAGGGAGTGGATCCACATCGCGGCGTGGGCGAGGAGAGGACACACGTCGCACCGGCCACAGTCGAGGGCGCGCCTCGGAGCAGCACGGGCAGACACCGACCACAGAACGGGGGATCGCACGCCACCGAGGGGAAAGAGAGCGAGAGAGGTTCGGCGATCCGAAAAACTCCCAGGGGCGTCCCCTCCGAGTGGAACTGTTTGTCACCCTGGCAGGAAAGCCGACACCTGCCAGGGGCCAACGACAAGCCCCCCAACTCGGGAAACTCAACCGTCGGATTCTTCACCGAGCCGCTCGGCATCGGCACGGTCGAGACGCTCTCCAAAGGCGATCGCTTCGAGCTCGTTTAGCCCACAAGCCTGGAGGCAGAGAACGGGGGATGGACGAGCCTGGGAATGGGGGAGGGAGACATGGACCGAGACCACGCTAACGGCGATGTTGGTTAACGGCGATGCTGGGAATTTGGTTTTTGCGTCACAGAATCTGCGCAGAACAAACTATAGGAAGACGCGAAGAAGCCTCTCCTACAATTGGGTTGGCCATGAAACAATCCCACCTGTAATACCGATACCTACATTGCCGTTAGCGTGTCTACGGTTAAGTCGGGCGTGTCCCCATACAGGGGAATTTTCGACTAAAAATAAAAAAATACTCAAAAAATACTGCCACATGGTTCAAAAATACTAGAAAAATAGTCCCCCGACTATTTTTTGACTATTTTTGAAGATACCCCCTCTGTAGAGGGACACGCCCGACTTAAGTCTACGGATAGAGGAACAAAAAACGGAAAGACGTAAACTTTCGAAGGTTCGCGTGGGTTTCCTTAGATCGGCGCCAACCCCCTCCTCCCTGGCGCGCGGAGCGCGCCGGAGGCGGCCCCGGAGGCGCTGCCAGGGGGGTCCAGCGCCGGTCCAAGAAGTCCGCACGGACTTCCGAAAGTCTACGTTTATGCAATCTTTTCCCCATACCCTAAAATGGGGTTCTCGTTATTGCTCAGGCACCTCCGGACTTCCTCCTCCACCCTCCTCCTCCTCCTCCTCCTCTTCCTCCTCCTCCTCCTCCTCCTCTTCCTCCTCCTCCTCTTCCTCCTCCTCCTCCTCATTCTCAGGCTCGCTCACTAATACTCAAACTCACTCGTACTCAGACTCACTCACACTCAGGCTCACTCGTACTCAGACTCACTCGCACTCTGACTCACTCATACTCAAACTCACTCACGATCAGATTCACGCATACTCAATCGCAATCAGGTTCGCACAGACTCAGATTCGCACATGCTCAGACTTGCTTGGGCCACTGCTCACCGCGATATCGCAGGCGTGGCATGTGGGCACCCCAAGGGGGAGCCGCCAGGGGTGGGGACACGCCAGGATTCGCGCGCAGATTGTGGGAATGTCTCAAGCAATTTGCCTGTTCGCATGCGCAACATCCTCTGCTTCCAGAACAGTTCGTGAGGATGTCTCAGGCGAGGCGCTGGTCTCAGCACTCCCAAGGGGGAGCCGCCAGGGTGGGGACACTCCAGGATTCCCGCCCAAATCGTGGGGATATCTCAAACGGTTTGCCTGCTGCCATGCGCAACATCATCTGCTTTCGGAGCCGTTTCTGAACATGTCTCAGGCGAGGCGCTGGTTTCAGCATTCCTGAGGTGGAGCAGCCAGGGGCGGAGACACTCCAGGATTCGCGCCCAGATTGTGGTGATGCCTCAGGCGGTTTGCCTGTTGGCATGCGCAACATCCTCTGACTTCGGAACAGTTTGAGAGGATGTCTCAGGCGAGGCGCTGGTTTCAGCACTCCCAGAGGGGAGCCGCCAGGGTGTGGACACTCAGGATTCGCGCCCACTTTGTGGGGATGTCTCCAGCGGTTTGCCAGCCTGCATGAGCAGCATGCCCTGCTTTCGGAACAGTTAGCGAGGATGTCTTAGGCGCGGTGCTTGTTTCAACACTCCCAAGGGGGAGCCGCCACGGTGTGGACACTCCAGGATTCGCGTCCAGATTGTGGTGATGCCTCAGGCGGTTCGCCTGTTGGCATGCGCAAGATCCTCTGGCTTCGGAACATTTTGAAAGGATGTCTCAGACGAGGTGCTGGTTTCAGCACTCCCACCGTGGAGCCGCCAGGGTGTGGACTATCAGGATTCGCGCCCAGTTTGTGTGGATGTCTCCAGCGGTTTGCCAGCTTGCGTGCGCATCATTTCGTGCTTTCGGAACAGTTTGCGAGGATGTCTTCAGCGTGGCGCTTGTCTCAGCACTCCCAAAGGGAGCCGCCAAGGGTGGGGACATTGAAGGGTTCTCGCACAATTTGTGGGGATTGCCCAGGCAGGTTGCCTGTTGGCATGCGCAACATCCTCTGATTTCGGAAGAGTTGGTGAGGACGTCTCAGGCGAGGTGGTTTCAACACTCCAAGGGGGAAGCCGCCAAGGTGTGGACACTCCTCGGTTCGCACCCAGATTGTGGGGATGTTTCGGGCGGTTTGCCCGTTTGCATGCGCAACATCTTCTGCTGCTGGATCATGGGATGAGGATGTCTCAAGCGGGGCGCGTGTTCCAGCGCCCCCAAGGGGAACCCCCAGGGGTTATATCACGGGCCCGTTCGCGCCCAGCTTGCGGGGATGTCCCCAACGGTTTGCCGATTTCGCACCCCAGACCCGTCTGCGTTCCGAGCAGATTGTGAAGATGTTTCAAGCGGGGAGCTGGTTCCAGCACGCCAGGGGGGCCAGACTGTGGGGATATCTCAAGCGGTTTACCTATTGCAGTGCCAAATGCACGTAGCCTAAACTCGCACTCACACTCAGACCACTCACATTTACACTCGGACCTTTCAGACTTCTCACACCCACAATCGCACTCAGCTGCTCTCAGACCTCTCACGCTCACGCTCACACTCAGACCAGTCACGCCCAAATGCACTCAGACCCCTCACGCCCACACCCACACTCGGACTACTCACAATCACTCTCACTCATGCGCGTAGACTCACGCACACTCAGACTCACTCACCTTTATATTCGTTTACGCTCAGGCTCGCCTGTTCCCAGATTATCATACTCAGACCCGCTCCCGTCTAGACTCCCACGCACGAAGACACTCGCAACGGTAAATGTGTGGGCAATGGGGTGCACATATGAGGATCCCCGCGTCGAATATTCAATTCTTCGAAAAAAAGGGGATGGTGAGGAATGCCTGCGAAGGGGCCAGCTGCAAGCGGAGGGGAGGGTGTGGGGTGTCGGTAGAACAGGGGTGCAGTGCCACGTTCGCGCAACCGTGGTGAACTGAGCCACTGCCTCGCATGTGAACTCCACGACCCGCGTGTGAAACCGCGAACGCAAAAACACCTGCATGCCGTGCCGGCGTGCCTGCAGCCATCATGGGCAACCACTCCGCTGTGCGCGCGAGCAGATGGCGTGCAAGCAGAGCTCTCACTCCGCGGAAGCCCCTCCAACAAACGACATGATGCAGGCGGTGGGGTCGACGTTGAGCCCCAGCGCTTTCTGGAGGGCCTCCTGCGCGCGCTTGGGGCGATGATGCCAGAGCTTGTGCTGGGTGGCCTAAGGACTGCCAAGACCACCCCCGCGGGTTTTTGTCAACCGCAAGCCTGGGCCTGTCTGGGAGGTACCAGGCTCACCGACACCGAACTCGCCTCCTCTTCGCCTCTTCCTCGGCTGAAGTCGTCTCTTCCTGACCACATGGCTGTTCGCCATCAGGATTCATGGTGAAACCAAGGGAAGCGAGCATGCCGCTGATCAGTACTCTTAGCATTGTAGGCGGGCGAATGCTTCAATCAAGAGCTCGCGTCTGAGCGTCATCGGCGGCGAGTTTGGGTGAAGCTCTGATTGCCTAGCCGAGCTCATACCCTCCAGTTTGCTTTGCGAGTGTGGAGCGTCACCAAACTCGCGGTGGAACTTCGACGTCGGAGGCTTTCCCCTCCAGCTCTGTCTCGCCTTCGACAAGGGTCGCCTCTTCATCGAGTTCATCTCTGCGGTTATATTCTTCCCACTCCTACATGTCAAAGGGAGGTCGGCCGATGTGGAACCCAACAACTAGAAGCATACTCCCGGAAACATTGTGCCTACAATGGGTATATATGCATACACACGTAAGCACATATGCGATATCAGCTAGCTTGGTAGCTACAATGCGTTCTCTCTGTGAGCTGGACTGCTGGTAATCTACGGTCCTATGCTCCACTGGCGTATTCAATACCTCCTCATCCACTTCCCCGTCACCTCGCGTGGCGGCGCCAAGAGCTACATTGAACACAGTCTCCCGTGCCGACTTGCAACATGCGCATGACGTGCATAAGCACAGGCCAGCCAACACGTTGTCGTAGGCACACACGGCGAAACGACAGGCTAATACTTGTACTTTGCGGAGGTCCCGCGCCGCGCTCGCTGGTCACGCTGCGCCATCTAGCAAGACAGCACGCCAACTCCTTCCCCTCCTCCTCTTCCTCCTCCTCCTCCTCCTCCTCGTCCTCCGCCTCCTGCCCCCTCCCAATCCTCCTCATCTTCTTCCTGTTCCGCCTTTTCATATTCTTTGTTCCTCTTCTCATTAGTCCTTTCGTTCTTCGCCTTGTCCTCTTGCCAATCCTTCGGCCTCTCGTTATCTTACCCGTTTTTGTTTGCTATCAATATGTTTGGTTTTATTGGTTCGTTGCTATTTTTTGGGTGTTCTCTCTCTCTCTCTCTCTTTCTCCGTATCCCTCCCCAGCTCATTATTCCTCTCGTTCTACCTCTCCAACTCCTCCAATTCCACCTTGTCATCCACCTGCGTTTTTGTTCCGCCTCCCCCCAGTCCTGCTGAGCCACAGCCCACGCCTGCGCCCGCATCTCTGCCTCCTACTACCTTCTGCCGCTGCATCCTCAAATCATCATTGCCTTTCACGCCGCTGCGCCCGCATCATCATTCGCGTACGCCGCCTCCTCCTCTGCCTGCCGTTCCCTTCTCCTTTTCTGCTCTGTCTCCTGCTTGTCCTGCTCCTGCTCTTCTTCGACCTCTTCGTCTTCCTCGCCCTCCCCATCCATCTTAGTTCGTCCCGTCAAGGAATACCACGCACCAATACACCTCAATACCCCGCCCCTCTGGGTGGGTGGCACGCTCAATAATCAGTCGTGCGATCTTCTTGAGTAAGCTAGGGCTCCCAACTTCGCGCTTCGCGCTCCGCGAAGCGCGAATAACTTCGCGCCCTCGCGCCGCCCCCCCAAAGGGAGAAAAGGAGGACGAGGAGGAGGGGGAGAAGGAACGAGGACCGCGAAGCGCGAAGCGCGAATAACTTCGCGCCCTCGAGGGAGCCCTTCTTGAGTAGGCAGATTCAGCGGCGACCCTGGAGCGCCAGACCGCGACATGTTGCCTGGCATGCTGTGGGAGGGCATCGGCATTTCGAGGGCCAGAGGGTCCTCCTCCTCCTTCTCCTCCTCCTTCTCCTCCTCCTTCTCCTCCCCCTCCTCCCCCTCCTCCTCCCCCTCCTCCTCCTCCTCCTCCTCCTCCTCCTCCTCCTCCTCCTCCTCCCCCTCCTCACGTGGATCCATGACCACCTGGCGAACGGTTTACAGCTCTAGTTCCTCGGTTCACGTATCCTAGGCCAGTTCGTCGGATATTGGCTCCAGGGGTGACAAAGACTCGTTGCATGCAGAATAACACGGCCCCCCAAAGCTGCGAACTCCTACAATGTACGGAATTTCGAAATAATATCTCGCACCTGGTGTAACAGGTCTCTGGGAGACACGCAACCTTTTGGTTTCCAGAGTCGTGGCCCGTGTGCACATTTACACGATCTGATCCCTTACGGCCACGTGCCTCGCTAAAATACACCGAGCCCTCGCTTGGAAACTGGTGACAACATTCGAAGCGCTATAAAAGGAGCTTCTTCGAAGAAGGCTCAACGAAGCCTCCATAAACACCTCGACACACCACGCAGTATCACGGGCCGCAAGCATCCGAATGCATACCGTTCTCTCAAGCCACTCCTGCTGGCCGAGATGGATGCAATTGGCGTCAATACACCCCGCGGGGTGCCAAACACACATTCCCGACATACTACATACTGGGCGTTCTGAGCGAGGGGTGCTGGCGGCACCTAGACGCCTTCTGGTGTCAGAGACGTACACCCCGCGAAATGCTTTAGAAATCATGGGTTAAGAAATTCATCATCTCAGAATTTGAAATCAAACCCAGAATGTCTATTCAAATGTTCGGATTTACATTGAAACATTAAGAATAATCGAGACTCTGGCCGAAAACTTGGGTTTTCTTCAGCATCGGCTGGAGTGTACATAGATATGCCGGGTTCATGCCACCATGAACCCAACAATGTTGCCATCTCTTACGGGTGCATTTTTCTTGCTTCCGCCGCCTTCCGCCGACCTTCCGCCGGCTTCTGCCAACGAGACCACCACCGTGTCATTTCCGCCGGCTTCCGCCGCCCTCCGCGGAGGAAGAGACGGCAACTCTCTCGGCCGTCGAAGCTCCGAGAAGACCTCCAATGGAAAACATGCTGCGGTACTTCGTGGGCGAATGCCCTCCATATCTTTCTCCTGCTCTTCGTCGTCGTAGTCGCCGGCCGTTCCGTTCATCCTCGCGCCGCCAACTGTGCCCTAGCTGCCGTTGATGAGTCGTGGCAGGGTCACCATTCGTGTGAACATTTTCCCTCTATGAAGGGGCCAAAGGACACACGCATAAATGAACGCAAGTCCCAAGATTCCCACCTTTTTTGGATGTACTTCTTGGGTTTCGTCTTCCCCCCTGCTTCCCATATTTTGATGGGGGCTGTTTTTTTAATGTTTGTGTCTATTTGTCCCTGCTGACTCTAGTCGGATGGCAGACGAGTGAATCCCCCTTGTACCCAATCCCGTATCCTAATCCCCACCCTCTGCCTCATCTTTGTTGTCCGCTTTTTTTGCGCAATCCACCTGCTGTGTCAAACCAGCCGGTGACATCAGACGTGCCAGTATGCTATTGAGCAGGGCACAGGGCGCGCCGCTGGATCACCCAAAGGGGGGGGGTCTGGGACTCCCACCCCCCGCCCTTTTCCCGACCCGTCGTCGGCGCACCCCCCCCCCTTCCCCGATTCGTCGTCGGCGGACCCCCACCCTTCCCGCTCCATCGTCGGCGGACCTCCCCCCCCTTTCCCGATCCGTCGCCGGCGGACCGCCCCTCCCCCCCTCCCCTCCTTTTCAAAGGCGCGGGGGGGTCCGACCCCCCCCCGTCCCTTTTGAGCTTACAATTCGGACCCTCCCCCCCTTTCCCCACGCCGCCCCCTGGCTCCGGAACCCGATCCCTACCACACCTAACCCTCAACCTAATCCCTGCCCTAACCCCGAACCCGTGACGCAATCCCCCATCCCCAACCCTAACCCTACCCTACGCCAAACCTGAACCCCTACCCAAACCCCTACCCTGACCCCGAATTCAAACCCGAATCCCCACCCTAACCCCTACCCACAGCCCTAACCCTAAACCTTAACCCCTACCCGAATCCTAACCACTACCCTAACCCCTGGTCCTAACCCTGAACCCTACCCTAAGCCTAAGCCTAACCCCTACCCCGAACCCTACCCCTTACCCCAAACCCAAGCCCCTAACCCTAATCCCTGACCTTAATCCTAAGACCTAACCCTAACCCCTAACCATGCTCTAGCCCCTAACCCTGGCCCTAAGCCCTAACCCTTACCCTAAGCACTAATCCACCCCCCAAGCCCTAACCTCAACCCCAACCCGGCCCTAACCCCTACCCCAAACCCTACCCGTAACTACCCTAAACCCCAACCCCAAGACTTAACCCTACCCCCTACCCCCACCCCTAACGCTGACCCTGATCCTTAACCCCAGCCCGAGGCCCTAACCTCTAAGCTCTACCCAAAACCCCTAACCGTAACCGTAATCCCGAATATTCGCCCTAAGCCCTAGCCCTGACCCCTCTACCCTACCCTAACCCCTAACCCTGATTTAACCTCCAATCCTAACCGCAACCTCTACCCGAACCTCAACCCTAAACCGTCACCCCTCACCCCTACCTCAACCCCTACTCTGACCCCTAACCTTAAACCTAAACCCTTACCCCCAATCCCAACCCTAACTCCTACCCTAACCCTAACCCCTGCCCTTAACCCCTACTTTAACCTTAAACCGTAATCCTTACCCCGGCCCTAAACCCTAACCCTATCTCCTAACCCCTAACCCTAACCCCTACCCTAACCTTAACCCCTATCATTACTTCTTATGATTAAACACCCCCGCATCCCCACCTAGCCGGCCGATGACAGCCCCGCCATCCTAAATGTAAAAAAAAACAACACAAACTCAATATTTCTCTCGTCAACACGTCGTCGAGTTGCGAGAAGTGTAGCCGGAATGGAACGGAATGAACATCGCTTGGGAAGCCCTAAGCGGGTGGTCGTGTCCTACCCATCAAAAGCAACAAGCAATCAACGCTTTTCTCGTCAGCACGGACTTTCTTGTCTTCGACGCTGCGAAAAGTGTAGCAATAATGGGACGCGGCGCACATCGCGCGCCGACGCCTGGCCAACCCTACGCGGGACCCCCCGTCCTACCTGTCAACGAATATCGCAACGTCGACGTTTATCTTGCCAACATGTACTTTCTCCCCGTCGGCGCTGTGAACCGCTTAGTGGGAACGGGACGCGGCGCACATCGCGCGGGGACGCCTGCTCGTCAACATGGACTGTCTTGTCGTCGACGCTGCGGCCCGTCGGGTTGAGGAGCTGGGCGGGCGGCAAGTCATAATGCCTCAAGCAAGTGCGGTTCAAGCAAGTGCCTCAGGAGACCCCCAAGAGGTCGAAAAAAAGGCGTCCAGGAGGACCTGGGGGGCAACACAAATATTGATTTTCACTTGGTGTTTGAAGGACTGTCAGGTTAGCGCCTACTTGTGTTGACAATGTTCCAACCCGGAAGATATATCCAAGAGGCCCTCAGGCGTATACCAGAAAGCTCCCAGGACGCCCCGCGAATTCCCAAGAGGCATTCTCCTCTTCCTCCTCAGTTTCTTCCTCCCTCCCTCTCTCCCTCCCCTCCTCCTCCTCCTCCTCCTCCTCCTCCTCCTCCTCCTCCTCCCCCTCCTCCATGCACGGCAGGAGCGAAACGATTGGCGGTGCAACACGAGTGGCTGGAATGAGACGCGGCGCACTTCGCGCGCTGGAGATGTTGTCGCCGACGATGCAGCATGAGAGGCAGGAGCGGGGCGCGGCGTACATCGCGCGCGGTCTTGTTTCTCGTCGACGTTGCTCAATACGCGGCAGGAATAGGACGCAGCTCATGTCGCGTGCTGAACGTCTACCCGCCCACGACATCAGATGAGCGACAAGCGTCGGACGCGACGCACTTGCTTCTTATGTTGTGGGAGGGCGGGTGGGAGTGGACGGAGCCATCTGGCTCGTTCGAGCTGGCTAACTTGACCTCAACCCTAACCCCTAACCCCGAATACCCTCACCCTAGCCCTAACCCCTACCCGAAACCCGAACCCGACCCCTTACGCCTAACCCTAGCCCCATAACCGTAACCCTAACCCCTGACCCTAACCCTAAGAACTGACCCTAATCCGTAAACCCTACCCGAACCCCTAACCCTGATCCTAATCCCGAGCCCTTATCCTAAGCTCTAATCCAAATCCCGAAGCCCTAACACTACCCCCCAGCCCTTCCCGAACCCCTACCCTGACCCCTAACCTTAACCCTAACTCCTACCCTAAACCCTAACCCTAACCTGACCCCTAACCCCTAGCGCTACCCCTAACCCTGACCCTAATCCCTAACCGCAACCCTAGGCCCTAACCCTAACCCCTAAACCCTACCCTAACCCCTAACCCTAATCCTAATCTCTGATATTATCCCTAAGCCCTAACCCTAACCCCTAAACACTACCCTAACCCCTACCCTAACCCTAATCTCTACCCTAACCACCACCTTAACCCCAGCCTCCAGCGCTCAAGAGCGGAGACAGCCTCCCCACCTGCCCCCCCCCCGCCTTGCATGGCCAAAGGGGGGGAGGGGGGGGAAGTCCGAAATCGCCCGCTTCCCCCCCCCGTCTCCAGCGCCAAGGGGGGGGGTCCGAAAATGTCGTCCCCCCCCCCTTGAAGGGGGGGAGGGGGGGGGGGGTTCTGGGAGCTCTCCCTCCTTTTCAATGACGAGGCGATCCACTGGCGCTCTTTCCAAATTTTGTTCTTCTCCATCGCAGCTTTTGGAGAGAGCGGGACAGGAAGACAAACGGAGGGGGACGCGGTCAACAAGTAACCAACGAATCACATGTCGCCTCTCGACGGCATGCCCGGGCAACCTTCGGCCACAAACACAGCACGAAATATAGAAAAACACGACGCCCAGACAACGGTGTTGCACTGCAGCTTCCAGCGCACGCACACCGCTGCGGCAAAATGATCATGGTCAGGCTGTGCCACTGGATGGCCCGTATGAAGGAGGAGGCAGAAGAATAGGAGGAGGAGGAGGAGGAGGAGGAGGAGGAGGAGGAGGAGGAGGAGGAGGAGGAGGAGGAGGAGGAGGAGGAGGAGGAGGAGGAGGAGGAGGAGAGAGAGGAGGAGGTGATGATGATGATGATGATGATGATGATGATGATGATGATGATGATGATGATGATGATGATGATGAGATGAGGAGGAGGAGGAGGAGGAGGAGGAGGAGGAGGAGGAGGAGGAATAGTTTCGCCGGCCAAGCGGGCCAGAGGCGCGCTAAAATCTCAGCCTGCGCAGGCAGCTTTGCGAGGCCGCCAGCACCCTCGCCGCTCCGCGGTGCCACCCCGTCGAAGTCCAGCGCGCCCGCGCCGCCCTGCTGGGCGCTGCCCGTGTCGCGGGGGAGCGCCTCGGCTCGAGCAGGGGCCGGAGGCATCCGCGGAAGATGCTGCGCACTTCTCGTCGATTCGACAGTGAAACACATACTGGGGTCAGCCAGTTCTCTAGGGCTCCCAACTTCGCGCTTCGCGCTCCGCGAAGCGCGAAGCGCGAATAACTTCGCGCTCTCGCGCCGCTCCCCGAAAGGGAGAAAAGGAGGACGAGGAGGAGGGGGCGAAGGAACGAGGACGGCGAAGCGCGAAGCGCGAATAACTTCGCGCCCTCCTGGGAGCCCTTGGTTCTGTAGCCGATCCCCTGCTCGAGTGACGGCCTCGGCGTCCGCGCCCTTCGTTCCGCTGCGTGAGCCCGCGGGCCACACCGCCCCCCGGGGGCGCGCCGCCGCTCGCCGCCGAGAGGTCTTCTGCGGACGGCCGGCCACCTTCGCCTCGCGCCAGTGGGGCCCTCTGGATCTGCTCGGCCGAGCAGCGTTCGCGCGTGGTCTAGCCAGAACCGCAGTGCTGTGCTCCAGCCGAAGATCATCCAATCGAACAACAAGCCTGGACAAACCCGCCCGGACAACTCGGGCCACCCATGCTGATTCAGGACGACGGGGCGACCTGCCACGGACAATCCCTTGGACAACCCAGCGGGGATCCGGACAAGCCCTCCCGACATCCTCCCCTTGGACAAGCCTCCCCACCATTTTTCTTCCATAAGACATAGCAGCCCTTCTCCCGCGCGCTGCCCCTCTCATGGGGGATTTGTATCTGGAGGAAGAAAAAATGCTCTGATGGGCGTGCTATAATGTAAGTCCGTGATCTTGTGCAGCATGTGATCAGAAGTCACCTTCTCGGCCGTGGTGCGCTTCGCGGCCGTCGTGGCCTGCTCTACTTCCTCCTTGCTCATGCCCTCGGCCGTGGCTGCGCTCTTCACCGCCTCTGCCTTGGCGAGGTCCCCCTGGAGCAGTGACAGCCGCTCCCTAAACACGCCCATCTCCCTGAATATCTGGAGACGACCGCGGTTCTGGGCGTGGCTCTTCGCCTTGGCCTCCACCGCGTCGACGACCAACTTCAGCTGCAAGCCCGTAGGAAGTGGGTGCTCGTGCGAGCCCCAGGAGAAGGAAACAGTGATTACCGGCGGCACCCCATTCTCGCCACCGCGGCCGCCCTCCTGCCACACAGCGCTGCACTCCTCGGAGGGAGCGGACCGGCAGCTCCTGCCGCCTCAGGAGCTCGGAAAGCCGCGTTGCTGGATGAGCCACGCCGTGCGGACCGGGCGTACGGGATGGTGACCTTGGATGGCGGTGGCGGGCATGTGGAGATTTCGGCTGCACGCAAGAGCCACCCTGGGCAAGAGTGACCCTTGGTGCGTGGGCTAAGGCGGCGCAGAGTGGCCGAATCCAAGCGCGCAATCCGCCGCTATCGCATCGCGCTCCACGATCGGGGGCACCCCGATGGGCCCGCACCAAGGGTCGCTCCAGCGAAAGGCCACTCTCACGTGCAGTCGAAGGATGCTCTCGCCGTCGTGGTACCGTGCGAGGCCGTGCGCGAGCTCCCTGTCTGCACGGCGACCTCCTGCTGCTGCTGGTCCACGGGCGTCTCGGGCGACTTGGGCGCGGGGCGGCGATCTCCTCGGCCGAGGGCATGGCTCCGCACTGGAGCGCCGCGCGGCACCCCGAGTGAAGACCACGCCGCGACCCGCAGGGCTCGCAGGCCACGGGGCCCGCCGGGCGACTGGCAGACTGCAGCGAGCTGCAGGCTCATGAGAGCGCCTCGGCCGAGGGGATGGCTCCGCAGTGGAGCGCCGCGCAGCTCCCCACCGTGACCCCGCCGTGCCCCGCCGGCTCGCAGGCCACGGGGTCCCCCGGGCGGCTGGCTGACTGCAAGAAGCTGCAGGCTCATGGGAGCGCTCAAGCAGCTGATATCCTGCTCGGCCTGCTTCTCTCTCCCTCCTGCTCGTGGCCGTCTTCCTCCTTCTCCTTCGACTCCTCCTGCTCCTGCTCCGCTTCCTCCTCGTCTCCCGCTTCGTCGCCGTCGTCCTGCCCCCGCCCCCTCCGCCTCCGCCTCCCCTCGTCCCCCCCTGCTGGTGTCGTATCCTTGCACTGCTTCTTCCCCGCCATATCGTCGGCGCTGAACTTTGCGGCGATGCTCGCATCGCGGGAGGGGTTCCAGGAGCTGTCTATGCCGTTGAGGATGCCACAGACCACCCAGCTCTTGGCCGCGATGTGGTCTTGAAGGTTGAAACCACCTGCCGTGGCTTCGCCTTCCCCTCACGCCGTGTTCCTCACCATCCCCAGGATTACATAACCGCTTCCTCCCCGCGCTCCCTCCACCCCTGCCTGCCTCGCTCGCCGCTCCAGTTCATGGTCAGGTGTCCTCGAGGATTCATGGGGTGACTTTGCAATCAGGGCGCGCTGACAGGCTGTCGAAAAGGCACGCGACGAGGGGCTGGGCAAGCACAGTGAAGCTGGCTAGCCTTCGCTGCTCCCTGCCTGGGCGCCGAGGCGAAGCGCGGGAGGGAAAGTGCGGTACACTGCTGGATAACGACCACCACCCCTGGCACGGCCGACTCGAATCTGCCACTCCATCTGGTTTCCTGGTCGGGGCTTTGCCCCAAAGGATATCTTCATCCAACGGAACTGGACAGAACAAATCCTACGAATTCATCCTCATCCCGCATCGTCTCCAGAATTGCCGTCGTCGTTCAGATCGTCGTCGTTATCCCAGTCACCGTCTTTGTAGTCGTCGTCATCCGTCTCCTCCCTTTCCTCCCCCGAACTGCTCCTGCTCCCGTTCATCGTCCTTCTACTTTTTCTTCTTCTTCTTCTTCTTCTCCTCCTCCTCCTCCTCCTCCTCCTCCTCCTCTTTTTCATCTCCCTCATCTTCCTCCTCTCCTCTCGCCTAAATTTGCTGCTGCTGTTCCTCTTCCATCTGCTCCCCTTTGTCTTCCACCCCCTCTTTGCCTTCCTCTTGCTCCTCCTTCTCCCCTCCCCCCTTCGCCCTCCCCTCGTTTTTTTCCTCTTCCTCCTCCTTCTCCTTCTCCTTATCCTCTTCCTCCAGCATCTACCACTCTCCCTGTGCCCATCGCCTGCCTCCTGCCCCGAATACTCCTCCTCCTCCTGCAAGCCTATTGCTGCTTCTCCTCCTCCTCCTCCTCCTCCTCCTGTTGCTGCCGCTCCTCCTCCTCCTCCTCTTCCTCGTACGTTCCTCCTCCTCCTCCTCCTCCTCCTCGTCCACTCGCTTTCCTTATAACTCCTCGTCGGGTCACCAGACGTGCCAATAGGGCTGTCCGAACACATCGTCTGATGCTTCCTGAAACTTGAGCTTCCGGATTGTTTCACGGATGGAAGGATGATGACTTTCAAGTATTGATGATGCTTGAGACGCCATCGAACTTCACGCTCCGATAGCTTCAAAATACCATCACTTGCACGGATGGAGGGAATCATCTTCTCAACTTTGGGCTGTTGCCTGGGACTTCCGCACGCTTTATGAGAAAGCACCGTGAGCCTTCCAGCAAATGCCCGCACGCATTGCGCCTCTCGTGCGCAGGTCAAGCTCTGCCTTGAGACTGGCACGCTGCGTGCTGCCACTGAGCTTGAGATGCTCAACAGCTGCACGAATGGATGGCGACCCCTGTCCGAAACCAAGCTTTCGCTTCGGAGCCGCGCCGGTCTTCCTGCACAGTTATCGTCAATCACGTTCGTTGTATGACTATTGTTGTACTGTTGACGTGTTAGCCAGCGTGGACTCCAAACGCGCACTGCGTAGCCGATGAGTCTCCCGCCGTCTCAGCCCCGCCATCACCCGTGGCGAAGGGCCGTGCGTGCCAGAGTGCCCCAGGCTCTTGGTACTCCGGTATCGCCACTCCAACTCCCCCCAAATCCCGAACGCGTGGTCCGTTCTGGACAACCCCAGGCCTCCCAAACATGGCACCTCTTGGGGGACGATCTTTCACCTCCGTCGGCCTTCTGCCAAAACTTCCGCTGTCGGAGCCGCCCTCGTTTTGCTTCCGGCGGCTTCCGCTGGGTAACAAATCCCCAGAACTCCGACGTCGTCGTGAATTTTCGCATCATCGACTCCCTGAGATCTGGACCCATTCCCTGGGACCACTTTTTCATCAGGATGCTGCTGCTGATGATGATGATGATGATGATGATGATGATGGTGATGGTGATGGTGATGATGGTGATGGTGATGCTGATGCTGCTGCTGCTGCTGATGGTGGTGGTGGTGTTGGCGGTGATGATGATGGTGATGGTGATGGTGATGGTGATGATGATGATGATGATGAGGAGGAGGAGGAGGAGGATGATGATGATGATGATGATGATGAGGAGGCGTTTTGCCCCGCGTATGGGGAGGTAATGGTCGTGTTTGCAGACCACGCTTTGACGGTCCTGGCGCCCAGCGAGGACCCCCGGAGGCCGAAAGTGGTCCCACACCTCCAGTCGTGATTATCTTCGCAGCGAGAGCGCCCCCAGAGGTCCCGACAACATCCCCCACCCCCCGGGTGGCAACTTCTCTCTTTGATTGCCCCGGGTACCGGGAACGGCCCCCGACGGCCGAAATCCAACAAGATCCGCCATTTGCAGAAATAGATCCCAGCAAAACACCCTAATACAGCCAAGCATCTGATGAAAGCAGCTGGTCCCGAAAAGCAGGGCAAACGTTTCTTAGCCAACTTGCCGAACAGGTGACCGAATTTTTCGAGCACGTTCGGCTCTCCAATGTTAAGAACAACAATTGGCCCAAGCTTGTTTTCAACACCTCCGGGAAGCTGGTCCAGATTTCTGACATCTCAGAGCGTGAATTACCTCCCCCGCTTTCGCTTCCAGGCAAAACCAAGCCATACCACGCGCCTCCTCGTCAAGCGTCCTGACCAGTACAGGCCGCAATTTGGCATTGTTTGGTATCTCTTGGAAGCGAGGGTGGTCAAAAGCGAGGTAGGTTTGTTTTCCCCCGAACATCATAGTTTTCTTGATCATACTTCCCGACTGCAGCATCAAAAGGTGAAGCGGCGGGTCGAGCAGGAGGTCGGCTCCCCGCCCCCTGTGGGACTACTCTGGGCCCTTATTAGCCCTTGCAAGAACCCCATACCGAGACGCAGCTCTGGAAAAACTGCCACTTGAAGGCCTCCTATCTGCGGAGATCTGGGCACGTCGATCCCTCGAAGGCTGGGCCCCTTCATCGCGGGAGCATCCTGACTTCTCCAAGGGTGTGCCGAACAGCCCGACCACGAGGACGCGCGACCAACATCCAGAGGGGGGAAATGAAGCAACTGACGGCAACCGCCCGACCCCATAGTCCCTTCGGCCGACAGTGAACCGACGACGGCACGGCCAGAAAAACCCATCATCGCTCAGCGTCGGGGTCACTAATGCCCCTTTTGGAGCGCGCCGCATGGCGAGCTTTCGCGGGGCCGCCGCCCTTCCAGCGGGCGCTCGCCGTCGTGTTGTTTTTCGGCGCGGAAGGGGGGGGAACCTGCCGCGTTCTCGATACCTCGGTTCACCATGGCCATCTTTCCTCCTCCTCCTCCTCCTCCTCCTCCTCCTCCTCCGTCCTCCTCCTCCTCCTCCTGGTCCTCCTCTATCTCCATTTCCACCTCCTCCTCCTCCTCCTCCTCGTCCTCCTCCTCCTCCTCCTCCTGCTCCTCCGCCTCCTCCTCCTCCTCCTCCTCCTCCGCATCCTCCACTTCCTGTCTTCTGTCTCCACTCTCCTGTGTCCCCTCCCTCCTCCTCCTCCTCCTCCTCCTCCTCCTCCTCCTCCTCTCCTCCCTCTCCTCCTCCTCCTCCTCCTCGTCCTCCTCCTCCTGCTCCATCTCCATTTTTCCGCCTCCACCTCCTCCTCCTCCTCCTCCTCCTCCTCGGTGGCGTCCTCCTCCTTCTCCTCCTCGTCGTCGTCGTCCTCGTCCTCCTCCTTCTCCTTCTCTCTCCTCCCTTCTCCTCCTCCTCGTCCTCCTCCTCCTCCTCCTCCTCCTCGTCCTCCTCCTCCTGCTCCATCTCCATTTCCGCCTCCACCTCCTCCTCCTCCTCCTCGTCGTCCTCCTCCTCCTTCTCCTCCTCGTCGTCCTCCTCCTCCTCCTTCTCCTTCTCTCTCTCCCTCCTCCTCCTCCTTTCCTCCTCCTCTGCTGCTGCTGCTGCTGCAGCTCCTCCCACTCCGCCTCCACCTCCTCCTCCTCCTCCTCCGCCTCCTCTCTCCTGTCTCCTCTCTCCTCTCCCCCTCCTCCTCCACCTCCTCTCCTCCTCCTCCTCTCCTCTCTTCCTCCTCCTTTCCTCCCCTTCTCCTCCTCCTCCTCCTCCTCCTCCGGCCCCTCCTCCTCCACCTCCTTTCTATTGACGTCGATCGGACTTCAGCTGTGCAGCTGTAGCGTTCTTGACAATGTGTAGAACACAAAGTGACGCGATTTGGCTCAAGTGTACCTACTTGGCGGGCGCCGCGGGGCAGGCAAGAAGCGAAGATTGGCGGCCGAACGAAGAACAACTACTAGGAGCCTGCCAGGTACGTGAAGCTAGCATATTACCTTAGTGATGACTCCCCAAAACCGTAACCTCTGACCAGTCGAGCTCAACTCTGTTAATTGTAAGTACATGCTGCTTCAAAACATGCGAAGTGCAAACTGAAACCAAGTAAGTGTGGCCTTCTAGAATGCGGACTGCGTGAAGAGATGTGTAAGGACTGAAAAATGTGGCGCGTGCCGCCGGCGTGTGCCGGTTAGTCTGGTCTGTATCAGGCTGTCCTTCTGTGGCCAATGCCTGTGACGCATGGCGGACTGGACGTAGCATAGGATCTGTGCAATACTTGGGCTGCTACCCTTGCGAGGTGGAGCAGGGGAAGAACGGGGGCAGTGAAACAGGTAAGGTGAAGAGGACGGGGGCAGAAAAATATGATGATGTGGTGCTCCTGTCTATGAGGTTAAAGTGTGGCTGGTGCCGCGAAAATGTGCAGATTTGGCTGGCTTGTAAGGCTGGCCTGCTGTGGCTCAATCCTGTGGAGGATGGCTGGCTGAATGTCGCATAGGGTTCGCGTAATTCTTGGGCTGCTACCCTTGCGAAATTAAGCAGGAGAAGGAGAGGGGATGTGATGTAGAAGGAGTAGGGAATACTGGAATGGGAAAAGGCAGAAACAGGGCCGTGCTGCGAAAGGATGATTGGTCTGTTGAAAGCTATGCTCATGAATATGAACTTCAACATGTGGCTGGTGTCGCCAACGAGTGCAATTTCGGCCGGTCTGTACGTGTATGACATAAGAACGAGCATACTGTGAGCGGATGGCTGTTGAGGTGAGGTCTGTTCTCATGTGTAGGATTTTCAAAGTGTGGCGGGTGCCGGCAACGTGTGCAAGTTGGGCTAGCCTGTATGGCGGGCCTGCAATGGCCGATGCCTGCGAACGACGGCTGGCTGTATGTGACATAGGATCCGTGCAATGCTTAGGCTACTACACTCGTGGAGTGAAGCTGGAAGAGGAGGGGAGCGTGTAAGGTATATATGAGGAGAGGAAATAACATGGGTAATATTACGTACTCCAGGTTGGAGATGTGAAAAAAAGGCACGCGAAGCGGTTCTTGGGTCGCCGCCCAAGGTCTTACGGTTCACCCCCAACCTTCTTGGACCCATGGCCCCCGTGCTTGTTGTAGGTTTTTTTCGGGTTAAGCACGAGCCCGTGGTATCTGAAGGGGCTCGGCTGGTAGGCTGGCCAGACTGGCTGCCTTGTAGTTGGCTTGAGCGGCTGAGTGAATGCATTCTGGCTGGCCTGCATGGTTGGCCTGTCAAGCAATGGGGCTCGCCCTGCCCAGCGGGCTGTGGGTCTCGAAATGTGGCCAGCATGTGGCTCTTGAGTAGCCCGTGATATGTAGGGCTGCGCAGTGAAAGCAAGTGTTCCTTCCCCCCTCGCGGACAAAACATATCCCGACCCCGCTGAATGTCAGCTTCCATCAAGGGCGGTGCACTGAACGTTGCTGCGTGAAAAAGGAAGGGAGGGTCGTGCCCTGTAGGTCAGGAGGGCTAGTGGCGGGGTGTGGCATATGGGAAGCAACATAGGATGGTTCACTGAGTAAACGCAAGCAACCACAATGTGAACAATCCTCCTCCTCCGCCATCACTGCAGGACATATCCCGACCCCGCCGAATGTCAACTGCTGTCAAGGGCGGTGCACTGATCCTGAGCTGCGAAAATATGAAGGTCTCGACCCGAGGGCCAGGGGGACACGTGACGGAGTGTCGCAGGTGGGGTGGCAGCGATGGGATGGTGCACTGAGTTAACCGCAAGCAACAATGTGAGACAAATCTGAAGGGGAACTGGAACACACAAATAAATACACACAAATAAAGATATCCCCCATATTTTCCCATATTTTCTGGGTTTTTGTCTTCCCCACCACTTCCCATATTTTTGCATATTTTCCTGGGAGTCGACGATTAATTGTGTCTGTGTGTTTCTTTCCCTCCTGAAAATCATCGAGAGCAACATTTTGTGACCGAGTGCTGTCGCCGACCCCTCGGCCTGCGAAGTGGAAGCAGAGGAGGGGAAATCAATAATCGACGTCCTGCAGACACCGGCAAATACGTGGAGCTGGTGGTCGTTGTCGCGGTAGCATCTGCCCCATACTTCCGATCTGTCACGTGCGTCGGATCTCTGCGTGGCTGTGGCTAATCATGTGCTGTTGCTGCCGTCGTTTGGGCTGGTTTGCTGCTGGTCAGGTTTCGGTGGCAGTTTGAAGATGCGTGGGTGGGCCTTGTGCAGCAGTGCTTCCTTGAAAGGAATGTCTTGTTGGAGGTTGCGGGTGTGGATGCTGGTGAGATGATGCTCGTGTCGTGCTTGGTGCGAGCGTGCGGCGTCGAAGTGTTCATGGAAGCGCGGGTCCCCGATGTCGTGCGCGAAAATGCGTCCGCGGCTGTTGGTCACGTTGTGCTGCGCGTATAGGGTGTGTGCCCCAGAGTCCGCTAATACCTGGGGTGGAAAGCGCATTTGAAAGGTGGCGTAGGTCTGCGGTGCAAGTCGGTGCATAGGTATTTCTTGTAGCCATCGCTGTGTCAAAATGTCTTCATTGAGGTGGGCAGACGATGGGTATCTTGAGTGTCGGTGGCGCTGGGTATATGGGCAAGGTGGCTCTTGCTGTAGTTGACCGTGCGGTGATGGCCGTCTTGTGCGGCGCTGCAGGTGTGGTTGCGATTGTGTTGCGGATGATGGTGTGTGTAATCGTCCTCTGAGGCGGTGGCTTTTGGGCGATTCGTCTGGCCCGCAGTGGTGGCGGTCTTTTGGCAGGTGGGATGTGTGTAGATGGCGTTGGCGTTGGTCCTGCTGCGGGTCTGTCGTTTGTCGAGTGAGTTGTCGTCGGCGTGTCCCCATCGCTCGAGCTGGGATCAGCTGTGAGCTGCGTGGGTCTGGTGGTGCTGTGAGCTGGAGTCGGATTGTAGATCTTTCGTGGGAGCGCCGCCGCGTCGTCGATGTTGACCGCCCAATCGCACTTCAGTTTGTCGTCGACGTCGCGGCATGCGTCGAGCCATTGTGCTACTTCCTGGATGACCACGATCATGTTGTGATTCAGTGATGCCTGTCTACCTGTCAATAATGTTTGGAAGTGTGTTGGTTGGTGGTGGTTCGTGAGGGTCGAACTGCCGCGTTGTTACGGTAGTGGCTGGCAAATGCATCTATGTCGTTGCCGTAGCTGAATCCAAGCTTGTCGCTTGCGTTTCTTTTTTTGGGGTAAGCATGTGTCGGCATGTAGTTCGTCCTTGAATTGGCGTACTTAGTACCAGTCGTGAGTGGTAGCTGGAAGGTCGTAAGTGGTGGTGTTCCTGAGTCGAATAATAGTGGAGGATGTGGTAAGTTTTGCTGTTGGTCGCGGTGTATGGAAAACTGGTTATTGAACGTATCCATGTACCTGTGCCGTCCTAGTAATAATATATAGCGTCATTTGATACTATGTGCATGTAGGTGTTGGGTCTTTCATGGTATTATACTGCGTGATGCCATCGGTCGTCGTCATGGATGTCGGTGTCAATGTCACTGGCGTGGTGGAAATAGGCTGTCCATCCGTCAGAGCACTGCATGTCGTGACCTTCGTGCGGGGGCAACGATGTGAAGTAACACTCCAATGTGTCTGCTGCTCCGTCTTCTTTCGCCCAGAGGTCGTTGTCGTCCGTGCTGCTGTCGGATTCGATTGTGTCGTAGACTAGTTCAGTTATGTGTGCGCATGGGTTGTGCAGAGGTGTCGGTCGTGGCTGCTGCGGTGGTGCAAGCTGTGTCGGAGGTGTTGGCGTCTGTGCGTCAGATGGCGGTGTGTATTCGTAGCTGGCGCTGGGTCTTGCTATGTCTTGGTCTGCTCTTTTGGGCCTGAAGGTTAGGAATGGTATGCGCTGCTGTGGTGGTGTGATTGGTGTGTGTGTGTGTGTGTGTGTGTGTGTGTGCGTGTGTGGCTTGTGCAAGTTAGTCGCAGTTTGTCTTCGAATACATTTTGCATTCGACCTGAGACGCGCATCTCTGCGAGTTCGCCTTGCTCAAAATTGTAGTGGGGATGGTCTGGTGGGGCGCCCGTGGGTATTTTGGCTCCGTACTTGGCCATGAGGAACCTTGGGGACCCCAATTGACATTGTGGACCGCTTGACTGTGGTTATTTTGGCGAAGGTTGTGGGCGGATGTAGTTGGGGTTGCGTTGTTGGCGAATACAATGCGTGCTGGTGTGTATGTCCGTGATAGGTGTTGGGGGCAAGTGACGGGGCCACATGGGGTTGGTAGACGTCGGTGATAAGCCAGCTCATAGTGCGTTGGTGGTGTGGGTCGCTGGGGTGGGAACTGGTCAACTTTATCTCGTGCCGATCCTGTATATCCGCTCAACAACTGGCATTCGTAATCTGCCGGGTCGTGTAGCTCTACGTGCTCTGGTTGGTGGTGGTGTGCGGAGGGTGGTGGGATGTGTCTGCGCTGCTTCTCCAATATGCATGTAGACCAAGGTGAGTACAGTGTTGATGCGGCGTCTGCTAGGTAATCGGTCAGCGAATGTAGCTCTGAGCCTGTGCGGATGTTGTGTTGTGGTTCGGCCATTGGGCTGAGGAATGTGGCCCCATCCGCATTGGTGAATTTGGTGCGTATGCCGTAGCCCTCGACGGTCTGGAACTCGTATCGTTTGTCGTGCTGCTGGTAGAAGATCTTGTTTAACATCTCTTTGACGTTTTTTCTTCCGTGACGTCTACGTTGAAGAGGGGGCACCTTAGTCGCGCCATGTTGTCGATGTCGTTGTTGAGGTCGTCCCACGACAAGTGGAAGAGCGAGCGGGCGTCGGCGTACTTCATGGTCTGTACTGCCACTATCGTCGAATGGCTGTTGGTCCTTACTGTAGTCGGCCCGTCTGTAGTCTGGGATGTTGGCTGGTCTCTGCGACCAATGCGCTGAGATGTTGGGGTGTGATGAATATATTCTCCACCTGCCTAGGGCCTGTTGGAACCGTTGTTGCAGGAGCGTGAAGGATTGTCGGTTGATGTCGGGTAAATTGGCAATTGTAACATGGGTCTGTCCCTTTGTGCGCGCCCAACCTTTGGCCGTGAATACTGGTACGTGCTCGTATCCCACGTGTAAGGATATGTGCGCGCAATACTTGTCGATCCTTGCGTCGGCCGTGTCGTCTTGTCTGTTTGGCTGTACTTGTGCGCGTAATACCGCCGCCCGCTCCGGCCGCCTGAGGCCCCGCCTTCCTGTGCCCTGTCTCCCTAATTAAAGCTGTGCGTAGCCCGCCTAGCATTTAGCGGAAGAGGTTCGGTCTCGCCCCGCAGATAAAGAATGGTGCGCGTAATACCTGTGCTGAAGCTGGGTTGTGTTGCGTGGGAGCGGCCGTGCGTAGCAGCTCCTGCTGTTCCTTGCGCCACGTCTTGGGTGGTAGTGGTAGTTCGTCGTTGCCGTCGTCTTCATATTGTTCTGTAGTGTCGTCTGCAGTCGGTCTGTAGGGCGCCTGTTGTGCGAACGTGGTGCGAATCTGTCAAGCGATGCGAGCCGCAATCGTTGTAAACTTAGCTGGTTTGAGCATGGCTGCTGCGGTACCTGCTCGGGCGAGTAAGGTACGGGAAGCAATGATGTATGTCTGGTGAATTCTGTGGCCCCTACTTGCGGTATGCCGTTCGGATCCCATTTCACGTGTGAGGCTGGCATAAGTATGGCCTCCCAGGGTCTTACGAGCCCCTACCTGAGATATGCCTTGCGGCTCCCATGCCAAGTATGGGGCACGCGCTGTAGATTGTGTCGTTGTCGTGAAAACTGACGTGGGTCTGGTGCTACGTAGCGTGGTGCTGGACAGTGCTCGTAAGACAAGCAGCGCATGTACGAAACCATGGTTGGAACCAAAATAAGCAGTGGCCATGCAAGCCTTCGGCTCTTTGTTTGGCCGACGTAATCAACGACACACTAAGGTCAAGGCTGTCTTTCGTAGTGTCAGCTATGCTGTAGATGCTGGAAATATTATGTAGCACGTGCCGTGCCCGGGTGTTGGTCACAGAAAAAAAACATTTTCCATGTGGGGGCACACTTGCTGATATCGCATGCGGTGCCGGTTCAGGCGTATGAGAATTGCTGTTCCTTTAATGTGATTGCAATATGAATGTGGGAAGCGTGTGTGCGAGGCACCATGCGTAGCACATCGTATTCCTCAGTGTTGTGTCGATGCCAGTATGATATGTCGAATCAATCGTTATCTATATTTCGGGTGAATTGTGACGGGCATGGTGAATTGTGATTGGCGATAAAAATGTCACATAATCTTTTCAATGGCCTTGCCCTGTTAGGGCGGTCTTTGTCATATGTTACCATTTGCTTTTGTCCTGCCTCCCCCCCCGAAACATGCCCGTGTGGGTCCCCTTGCGATCTATAAGGCTTGTCGTCGGTGCCTCCGTGGAGCTGCTGGTCGTAGTGCTGATCTTTGTTGTGCTTGCTGCGTAGCGTAGTGCTGGACAATGCAATTGTGATTGGCAGCGCCAGATGTGGAGGCCGTGGTTTGAGCCAAACGTCAGCAACGGTGGATGGTTGCCTTGTATATTTCGCTGGGCCAGCGGCGAACATGTCACGTCGATCAGAGAAACACAAACATGGTCCACTGTATGTACGGTCCACGCTGTACTGTAACATCCTCCTCCTCCTCCTCCTCCTCCTCCTCTCCTCTCTCCTCTCTCCTCCTAATGCTGCTGCTGCTCTTCCTCCCCCTCCTCCTCCTTTTCCTCTGCCTCTCCTCCTCCTCCTCCTCCTCCACCTCCTTCTTCTTCTTCTTCTTCTTCTTCTTCTCTTCGCCCTAAGTAGGATGCTGGACCCAGCGCCTCGGGCAGAGGCGGGTGGGAGAACTCAGCCCAAGTGGGGGCCCCAAGTAGAAGGGTCCGGCAGTGGGGCAGGTGCCCCCGCACGTGCCCTGTCCATGGGGGGCCCGTCGCGCAAATTGGCGACACTGTTGGGGGCCCCCATGGAACCTGTGCCTGCCGTGTCGCCTCCTCGATGTCCCGGAAAGTGCCCTGGAACAGCGTCGCCGCCACCCTCCACCTCCCACAATACCTGCCTGGGCCTAACCCATCTCGCCTGCCACATACCCCGCATGGACAAGCGTGCGCACACGCACCCGCACGCACACCAACCACACGACACACACAACACACACACAACACACACGCACAGAACGCGCACACAGGGGCACACGCGCGCGCACACCAAAAAGCAGGGCGCGCGTTTCAACCCACAACAGCGAACCATGAAAAAGTGCGATCCATGATAGAGTTGGCCCACCTAGTAACTAGGAGGGCCGGCGCGCGCGGCTCCTGGAGCGGCGGCGCACGCGCCGCGCGCGCGGCCGCCTCACCCGGCCCGCCGCTGCTGGCGGGGCCCCCAGGCGCGGCGGGGCCGCCCGGGCTGCCGGGGCCCCCGGGCGCGGGGGGGCCTCCCGGGCTAGCAGGGCCCCCCAGCGCGGCGGCGCCGCCCGGGCCAGCGCCGGCAGCGGGGCCCGCCGGCGGGGCGGCGCCGCCCGGGCCAGCGCCGGCGGCGGGGCCCCCGGCGGGCGCGAGGGCTGGGGGCGGCTGCAGAGCGAGAGCAGCCGGACCCGGAGGGGCCGCGCCCTGTGCGTGGCCACCAGCCCACGGCGCGGTCCAGTTCCGGACCGCGTCCATGAGGAGTGCCGCCTGCACCCCCAGGGACCCCGAGAGTGTGATCTTGCCTTGCCGGAGCCAGCAGGACACGCACCCCCCGCCCTCGGCGGGGCGGATGGCCACGCCGATCTTCTGCCCGTGCGAGCCGTGCAGGAAGAAGGCCTGGCCAGAGTGGCGGTGCAGCGGCTGGCCCCAAGGGTGCGTGGCCGCAAGACGCAGGATTTCCACGTCGGTCAGGGCCCGCCCGTCGGCGCGCGGTAGAATGCGCCGCTGCGTGGACTGCCCGCCGCCGCCGGCCGCAGGGGCCCGGCGAGAGCGGCGGGGGGCGCCGCTCGGCGCGGGCGGCAGCTGCCCGCCCAATGCGGGAAGGTCCGTGGGCAACGCAGTGCCTGCAGAGGCGTGCCAAGGCGGCGGCGCACTGGGTGCGCCCGCAGCCGGCGCGGCAGCAGGCAGCATGGGGCCGGGGCCGCCAGGGCCACTCGCAGCGCTTCCACCCGAGCTCGCCGCCGCAGCACCGCCCGAGCTATGGCCCGCGGCGCCCGCAGCCGGCGCCGCGGCAGGCTGCAAGGGCCCGGGGCCACTGGCGCCACTCGCGGCGCCTCCACCCGAGCTCGCCACCGCAGCTCCGCTCGAGCTATAGCTCGCGGCGCCCGCAGCCCAGCGCTGGCCTACGGCGCGGAGAGCAGCAGCGGCACCCTGTGCCGAGCCCCCGTGCACCACCACCAGGGCCTCGGCGGCGACAAGGTCCGGGAAGTCGGCCCCGAGCAGGAGGGCGTGGACCGCCTCCGCCAGGCCCGCCCGGCGCCCCAGCCGCCCGAAGAGGACAGCGGCCGCCGAGGCAGCAGGCGCAGCGTGCCCAGGCGCAGCGGCGGCCAAGGACCGCAGAGCCAAGACGAGATCCGAAGAAAGCACTGCGGATGCACCCGCGAGCCCTTGCACCAAGCCGGCGAAGGGCGGGCCCAAGGGCGCATGAGCAAGCCAACCTACCAAGGTCTCCGCTGGTAGGGAACCGACCGCGACCAGGGGCGCCGGAGAGAAGGCCCAGTTGCTGGCGCTGGGGTGTGAAGGCAGAGTGCTCGCAGCGGCCGCCGCCAGCGATGAGCTGGGAGGCCCCTCGTTATCCGCCGCGTAGCCGCCGGCGTGTGGGGCGCCGGGCGAAGCCGGGGGCGCCGGCGTCAGAGGCGAGCCAGGCGACGCCGAGGACGACGACGAGCTGGACGAGGGTAGAGCATCGGTGTGCAGGAAAGCCCTAAAGACTGGCGGCGGCACGGGGGCCCCCGCCAGCTCGGCCGCTTGATGGCCCGGGGCCATGGCGGACCCGACGGAGAACACTGGGTGGCCTGGGACTGTCTCCGCCTCAGGGTCCACCTGCTCAGGGGCACCAGCGAGAGGCGCAAAGTCCGCCCCGGCATCTGGCCCAACCGGCCCGCTGCTGCTGGATTGGGCCCCGCCGGTGCCCGCCGAAGCCGCCCGCGACGCACTGGAACGCTGGGGGAACGCCTCGAGCAGAAGGGCGCGCCCTTTGGCCTCAGCCTCGAGCTGACGGGCGCGCTGTTTGGCCTCAGCTTCATGTTGGGCCTGGGCTAAGTAAGCGACGCGCTCTAAGTCCGAAAGGGCCGCCCACTCCGCACGGACCAGCCCTTCGCGTGCATGGTTGGTGGCCTGGCCGGCGGCAGGAGCACCCGCGCCCGCCCCCAACCACAACTGATGCAGGCGCCCACTGGCCCGCAACTGAGAACGGAAGAGAGCCAGAGCTTCTTTCTCGTGCGGCACGCGCTTCTGAGCAGCAGTGCAGGGCCCAGGCGCCATGGCCAGGGCGAGTGCGAACAGCAGCTTGGGCGTCATGGGAATGCCGATGTTCTGAGAGCGAGGCGACGAAACACAACAACAACTTGATGGTGAAGCGGCGTGAACCTCCTCCTGCTCCTCCTCCCGTCCTCCTTCTCCTCCTCTTCCTCCTCGTCCTGCTCCCGCTCCCCCTCCTCTTCCTCCTTTCTCCTCTCTCCTCCCTCCTCCTCCTCCTCCTCCTGCCGTTGCTGCTGCTGCTGGTGTGGCATCTAGAACCGAAAGGAGAACGAGAGTGCATATCGGGAGTCGATGGTGACATGGGTGCTGAAACCTTTTTCTCTTAAAGTCTTCCTGTCCCCGAAACCTTTCTTCCGCGGTCTCGGCCATGATCCAGATTGGGACCGCCCAGTCGTGCTTGCGCCCACGCACCTGGCCTGGCCCTCGGGCCATCGAAGCAAGCCGAGGGCAGCGATAAATATGGCTCTAGCAACGGTGTGCGTTGTTCATGCGAGGGAAAGTACAGTCGTCTCTGCGAACTTTCATACAAACAGGAACGTGCTTAATCCCAACAGTCCAAGCCGCCTCCAGACATTTGGGGCTGACGAAGTGATGCTGTATGTTACTCATGAATGTGTTATCACCACGATTGCATTATGGGAGGTGGACGAATGGGAAGGGAGGACCAGATGCAACTGCTGCTGCTGCTGCGGCTGCTGCTCCCACCCTGAAATATAATGGTGCGCGAGCAAACGGGCTAGCGGGTTGACCAGCCAGCCAAGGAAGCACGGGCACAAGTTCAGGACGTATGCGATCATGTCAGTGGTGGCCGCACACAATAGCCGAAATATAATGAGTATCTGCATTGCTCGTCCGGGGTGCCGACGGATCAGTCGATATAGTGGAGACTTTGCCATGGTTGCAAAGAAGAATATGTAATGCTCGCTCTCCACATGCTTGGTCAACTGGAATGTTTTCGATTTCTTGTCGTGGCCTGTTGTCGTGGGAACTGAGTGCGCTTCCAGGGTGCTGTTGAGCTTCGCTGGCGTCGCGCCAGTGCATGTGGTGAACTTGTCCACTCGTTTGGCCTGATCATCAACAGGCCACTCCGTCATGTTTTCATCAGGGATCACGTTCTTCGCCATCTTGATGGCTTCCTTGGGGGCGGCTGCGCTCTCCGCCGCTGCCGCGGGGCTGGCTGTTGCCGCCAGCGCAGGCAGGTGCGGGCCGTCCCGCAGCTGCTGCGTCCTTCTCCGCCATCTGCTGAAGCATGGTGCGCATGGCGTTGATCATCTTCAAGTTCGTCTCTGGAGAGGTGCCTTGGTGCTAGGAGATCTCCTCAATGTCCTCGGTGTTGGTATTCACTGGTTGCTTCTTCCAAGCCTAATGCTTTGGCTATATGTTTCTGTATCTTTCTTGAGATCTCCATGTCGCTGCTCACGGGGTTCACCATGTCAACTTCGTTGGTTTCGTCGTCTGAATTGAGGTCATCCGCTGTCGAGTCTTTCATCCTGGCATTCATCGTCTTCGTGTGCTCGGTCGTCCAGCTGTCCCTTGGTTGTTGCCAGTCTTGTTCTTCTGGTAGACCTTGCGAGCCCTTCTGCAGTCGGTGCTTGATGCTGAGCTCGCTGAGGTACTCGTCGCACTTGATGCTGTAGTGTTGGAGTCGTTCTTCTTGAGGCTTCAATTTCCCACCAACTTCAATAAACTGAATGGTGCTCCCCTCTCTTTTTCTTCTTCTTCTTCTGCCTATCTTTCTTTTAGCGGTACTTGTCGTCGCGGTTGCCGCCGAAGCCGAGGATGTCGCTGATGATCTCCGCGATCATCTGGCGGTTTCTGCGGGCCTGCTCCCCCCTCTGCTTCTTCTCCTCGCGGCTCCAGATGACCTCAGCCGTGCCACCTGCGCTGTTGGGGGTGCTGTCGGTGCCAGTCGGCATTGCCCTCGGCCGCCCTTGCCCTCGCCTCCGCCGCCATATCCCCTGCCGCTTCCCTTGGGCTCGCTGTGCCGGTAGTTCTCGCGGCCGCGGCCCTGCGCCGGCCTGTCGCGGGCAGCTGCTCTTGGGGTTCGCCGTTGGCACTGGGCGCGCGGGGCTTGCCCGGGGGGCTTGGGCCGAGGCTCGCTGCAGAAGGGCGGGGTACCAGTGTGGACTCTAAGGGTGCAGCTAGGCCTTCGAATGCACGTCTCCTCCAACGACCTTCTCCTCCAGGGATGCCCCCCGGAAGCCTAGTGTGCGCGTCGTGCTGCGGGCGACGCGTTCGGCGGGTGGCAGCGATGCGGGTCGACGCGTGTCTTCGCGGGCGGGCAGCGCGGGCTTTTCCCGAGGGCTGCGCGGGCCATCTCAAGGACAAGGCCTCGCGTGTGATATCTGCAGAGGCTGTCTGGGCTCTGAGCGGGCTCGGTTCAGACATGACGTCGAGGGCAATGATTCGTTCCGATCGCCTGGCGTGGGAGAAGAACTGGGGGGCGGTTTTGGGGCGGGGAAGAATGCGTGGAAACCTGGCGCACGTCGAGGCGCGCGTTTCTCCGCGAGAGACGTCGTGGTTCGCAGCAGTTGCATGCGACTCAAATGGGAGGGGTCTACAATGGGGGTGCCGATCCCGGGGCGGCCCACGCCCGCGCGCTGGGGCAACGTGACTGGGGGGGGCGCCCCGGGAGGAAACTTACCCCCTTCAAAAGTGAAACCAAAGTCCTTCGGAAAGAGGCGGCGCGAGGACCTGCGTGGGCAGGCAGAGCAGAGAAGGCGAGACGTGGTGATATAATCGTCAACATCGAGGGGCCTGGATGGGCCGTTCAGTAAGGATCTGTCTTCGCTGGAGGCCAACGTGCGCTGCGCGAGGTCTGTCTATGCGTAGCTGGCTCGCGCAACTGCCCAAATCGGCCAGAGTCGAAGGCTCGGACAACGGGGCCCCCATGGCCTAGCCCTGGAATCTCTCGAAGATGGCGTTGCCAACGGATAAGAAAAGATCATGCTTGACATATTCGGTGGCTTTGTTGATGTCCGTGAACGAGAATCTGTCGGTTCCCTGGCAAACGGGTCCTTTGGGGTGAGGAGGTAACCTGATGCTTTCCTGTCTCTCTTCAATGCATTGCTGGTTGTGCCGCGTCTGTTCGTTGTTCGGTCCAGGTGTTATAAATGCATCTACTTCCTCGCGCAAAAACGAGCATCTGTTAAGGGCTGTTACGCGTCGGCCTTGCACACATGGTATCATTCTTTGGGCGCCGCACCTGCAATTTAAGCCAACCAACCTGGGCGCTTTCGATCTGATGGGTCTGGGCACTTTATTGGATGCCCGCGTGCTCCATGAAATGCCGCCGCTAAGTTTGAATTTTGAACAAACCGAATCGCTCTTGCAGTCTGCCTGAACAAAAACATGCGTTGTCCTGACACCGCTAACGATTCCTCGCACATGTGCGCGCTGTTTGGGGCAAGTAAGTGCGCGGCAAGGACGTGGGCCATATTTCCCCGTGGATGTGCTGCGTTTTTTTTTTTTTTTTTTTTTTTTTTTTTTTTTTTTTTTTTTTTTTTTTTTTTTTTTTTTTTGTTTTTTTTTTTTTTGAGGGGGGGGGGGGGGGGGGGGGGGGTGGGGGGCCCAGCGGGGTGACGCCCTACGGGGATTCAGATTGGACCTCGCCATTCCTGGGGGGCTGCGATCTGTGAAACTGTCGCCACGGGGCCCAGCGGAGTGACGCCCTACGGGGATTCAGATTAGACCTCGCCATCCCTGGGGGGCTGCGATCTGTGAAACTGTCGCCACTTTCGAAGGCTGCGTGGGGGGCCCAGCGGAGTGACGCCCTACGGGGATACAGATTAGACCTCGCCATCCCTGGGGGGCTGCGATCTGTGAAACTGTCGCCACTTTCGAAGGCTGCTGGGGGGCCAGCGGAGTGACGTCCTACGGGGACTCAGATTAGACCTCGCCAGCGCTGGGGGGCTACGATCTGTGAAACTGTCGCCACTTTCGAGGGCTGCTGTGGGGCCCATGAAACTGTCGCCACTTTCGAGACCTGCTGCGGGGTCCAGCATAGTGACGTCCTACGCGGACGCAGATTGGACCCGTCATTCTACTTCGATTATCCCGCATCTGCGATCGACTGTATGTGTGCGAGGAACTAGACATGGAGTGGTCTGGCACTGACTGACGTCAAATCGTTGTGTGCCAGTGTCTCCTGGGGTGTTGCCTGATGTGGATGCAGCTCGTCGGCGCTGCGACTCGAGCTGGCGGTCGTCCTTCGGGCCCGCAGAAACATCTGCTGAGCTCGATGAGCTAGGGGAACTACAGGAAAGAAGTGCAGGAAACGGAGGCCGGTCATGCACTCGCCGATACCTCGTTGCTCTGTCATCGTCTTTGCTGTTGCATGATCCTTATCTGGCCTGCCGGCGCCGCGGCTCGAGCTGGCGGTCGCCCTTCGGGCCCGCGGGAACATCTTCTGAGACAAGTGGACGCCGCCGCCTTACTTGCAGGCAGCGCATTGCATTCGCGGACAGCAGCATGGCAGACCGCAGTGAGATCCTCAGTCGCGTGGTGTTGCCAAGCCTGGTGGAGACGCGCGTGATCGACCTGAAGTCCCAATCGCGCGTGCACTGTACCTGCGTGGCGTTCAGGCACGCGCGTGATGCTGCTCGCTCCGCGTTCAACCAGTACGTCGCCAGTGCAACTTTGGACGATGGACAACCGATTGATGATGCGCGACCCCGGCCTTGAGTTTCTTTCCCGCGGGCCGCCCGCAGACCTGGCGGCGCGCCTGCGGCGTTCAGCTCCCGCGCTGAAATGTGCGGGAAGGAGGCGGAGAAGCTAGCGGGCGAGCTACGCCTCGCTCGTTCCTTGCACTCTAAACAAGTTTTATCATGTGGAACTCTGCGACGACATGGCGCAGGCAGCGCTGCGGGTTTAGCTCGCACTTGAAAAACGCGGCAGTCTTCTGTCTCCTCCCGCCACTTTCATCGTCGTCCTATTCCCCGCCTCACCTTCTCCATGCATGCTGCTGCTTCCGCGATGGCCTTTCGCCCCCCCCCGCCCTCCATTCCATCCCTCTCCTGCCCCTCGTTCCCGTGCCCGTTCTTCTTCGATCCTGGGGCCTCAAGCCTCGTTTTTTCGATCGTCGTCCTGTGGATCGTGCGGCGCGTGCGCATCCCATGTAGCTTCCACAGCAAATCGCCGCGTCTACACTGTCGTTGTTCCTGCTAATGTTGGCATACTCCTCTTGCCATTTGATGCGCGTGGGTTGGGTGCGTCGCAGGGCATTTTTTTTTTTGGGGGGGGGGCGTTGCCCGCCGCTGTTTTCTTTTTATCGCGCCAACATTTTGGCGCAAATGGCTCATCGCTCTTCCGTTGCAATTTTGCCGGGTGTTTTCGATGCAGGTCTGTCTATAATTATCGTGCGATGTATCTTGCATGATCGTGTTCCCCAAGATCCGGAGAGATGCCAGCCGTCGCGCTCCTGTCCTGCGACGGGGGTCCTTATCCATGCCGACCTATGCCGCTGATGGGGGGGGGGGGGGGGGGGATGCGCGTGGACGCCCGCGCGCTCTGGCTAGGGGCCCCTCCAGCGCAGACGCATGGGGCAGCGTGATACTCGCAAAATCCAACCAGCAACTCTACCTTTAAGCACTGTGATGTCTGGGATTTGTCTGGGAATGGGGCAACGCATTGGTCTGTCTAGTATATGGGCTCGCTGTATCACGGGCAGCCTGGCTGTGCATCCTGGTTATGGCCCGGGAGTATCTGCGCAGCAGGCGATCGCAGCTGCGAACCTCCCGCAAATACTTTATACACGAAGTGCTTGACTCTTGTGAGGGCGGCTGCATGGTCCTGTGATGCGCGGTCGCCGCGCGGCGCGACATGATGCTCCCTGCTTGCCTGAATTCCCCCACCTTCGACTGTGCAATTGCTTGCTGGGTTGAGGGGGGTGGCAAGCATGGGGGCCAGAACGGAATGCAAGAGCGCGGGGGGCCTGCGAGTCTCCGCGTCTTCCTATAGTCCAATCTCGCGCCGTGCTGGCCCGAGAGAAGTGCCATCCAATGCTCGCGCCTACGTGCGTGCATGAGGGCGGGGGTGCGATATTTGGACAGGCGGTATTTCTGCCTACGTGCACGCACAGGGTCTTGGAACGATGTGTATTGATCATGGAAACGGGCGCGTAGTGCTGGTTTGTCTCGAATGCCGGCAAGGACGTTGAAGTCGCGTTCTCGCCCCGCTGTCTTGCGCGCTCTAAGAGGGTGCGGCCTGGCCGCGCGTTTTCTCATTTTATCCTTCTTCGGGGGGGGCTGCTGAGTGGGTGGGCGGGGCAGCGCAATGCAGAGGGCCTCGATGCGTTGGATTTTCGCCTCGGGGCCAAACGCAATAGGGGGCGCGCATATTGACCATGGACCTGTACTTCCCCAGGTTTTGTACCTTGGTCGAAGCCTCTGTGACCCTCTTCTCCGAAAAGACGATTCATCGTGTTCCCTGAAACGGGCCACCACTCCGTGCCATGGGGACTTGTTAACATGACGATTCGCCTCTGCCTTGCCCGCGTACCAGCAAGGTGCCCCACGGGAGAAACCAATGCACAGGCTAGATTTAAGCGATCGGTCATGTTTTGGGTACCAGGTAAAAGGTGTGCACTTGTGTGCTGTATGAAGTCTAGAACGGCGCGCGAAAGCTCTGAAGTCACGTCGTAGATTGAAAGGCTGGCTTGCATGCCTGCAACATGACACGTGTAATGGTTTTTCCCATGCGGGTTTGTGAGGAACCGCGTGAGTGCAATCAAGTGCTGTGAATCCGTTCCATGCACACTTCTTCGACCGACCTTTTGCAAACCACGCTGACATGGCGCACCTCATGTCTCGTATATTATGATGTGCGTGCGGGCATATGAACCCATCTTTGGCCGATTACAAAGCCCAAGGAGTGATCCTTCTACGTCATCTTTCAAGGTTGGCATCCTTGGGGATGTCAAGGTGCTTGCGGGTGGCTGCCATGAGGGCAAGGCCTTTGAGCGCTTGGATCTTTTCTGTCCAGCGCGTCTGTGGCAGAGAGGGAAGGATGCGATGTGCACGGCGCGCGGCAGGCTCCCATTCTTTGGAGGAGCTGCCATCGCTCGTATGGATATGCTCGTACTAGTGCGTGTGCTGTAGCTCTCAACCACCCCCCGCCCGTATGAACGAAGCTGGGGGTGTGTTGCTGGTCTGACAGCTCGAATCGGAAAGAGGAAACGATGGGTGCGGGGACCTCTTTCCCGTAAGGTCCCCCTGACCTCGAAGCCCTTCTTCTGCGGCCTCGGCCATGAACGGGATTGGGGCCGTGCAGTCCACACCAGGCCCGACCCTCAGTCCATCCAAGCAAACCGAAGGCAACGAACGAGATGCCTGTAGCAAACGTGTACGGTGCACATGTGGGGGAAATCGCAATCGTCTCTGCGGGCTTACATACGGTAAAAACTGTTCCGTGTATCGTCGCAACGGCTGCAGCATGATAGCCTCCTCCTCCTCCTCCTCCTCCTCCTCCTCTTCCTTTCTCCTGTTTCCTGCCCCCTCTCCTCTCCTCTCATCTCCTCTCCTCTCCTCTCCTCTCTCTTCTCTCCTCTCCTCTCCTCTCCTCCTCCTCTCCTCCTCCTCCTCCTCCTCTCCTCCCTCCTCCTCCTCCTCCTCTCCTCTTTCCCTCCACCTCCTGCCGCCTCTCTCCTCCTCTCCTCCTCCTCTCCTCTCTCCTCCTCCCTCCTCCTCCTCCTCCACTTCCACTTCCACTTCCGCCGCCTCCTCCTCCTTCTCCTTCTCCTCTCTCCTCCGTCCTCCTCCTCCTCTCCTCCTCCTCCTCCTCCCTCCTCCTCCCCTCCTCCTCCTCCTCCTCCTCCTCGTCTCGTCCTCATCCTCGTCCTCGTCCTCGTCCTCGTCCTCGTCTCGTCCTCGTCCTCGTCCTCGTCTCCTCCTCCTCCTCCTCCTCCCCCCTCCTCCTTCCCCTTCCTCCTACTCTCCCTCCTGCGGCTGTTGCTGCTGCTGCTGCTGCTCCTCCTCCTCCTTCTCCCCCTCTTTTAGCTCATCCTCATCTCTACACTTGCTCAATCGGAGTGCCCTGTCTATCTCACCTGAAGCTGCCCAGAAGATCTCCTGCCCCCAACCGCGTCCTGTTTCCCCACGCGGGCTTGAACCGAACAGCTCTTCCCTTTGTGCTTTAGATTCCGATGGTTTTCGATGTTTCAAGAACGGTGCTCTCGCTCCAGCGCGGGCGTCGGTTTTGAATCGGCCCTGTGCTCCCGTCGTTCACACTTGTGCCCTCGCCCCAACGGGGGCCGCTTTTTCTGGATCCCACAGGTCTCGCTGGTCTCGCAGGCCCCACAGGACCCACAGGTGCCGCAGGTCGTCACGCAAATCCAGCAAGTCTGACAAGTTCCGCAGGTCCAATGCGTGTCGTACGTCTCGCAAGTCCCACACGTCACACACGTCCCGCAAGTCTCGCAGGTCTCACAGATCCCATAGTTCCCGCAATCCCCACATATTCCGCAGGTCCCACAGGTGTCGCTGGTCTCACAGGCCCCAGAGGCCCCAGCGGTCCCCCAGGTCGCACAGGTCCCACGAGTCCCGCAAGTTCCACAAATCCCACACATCCGCAGTTCCCACCTGCCCCACACGTCCCACAGGCCGCAAAAATCCCACAGGTTCCACAGCTCCCACACAGCACACATATCCCACAGTTCCTACCTGCCCCACAGGTCACCCTTGCTGCTGTTATGTCGGCTATGACACGCGCCCGCGGGTAGAGAGAGCACCTCGGCGCTGTGGGAGGGGATGGGAGGGAAGGATCGGATGTCAGATGTGGCGCGAGCTCACCTAGCTTGCCTCTCTCCTCTCTCCTCTCTTCTATCCTCCTGCTCCTCCTCCTCGCCTCCCTTCTACAATTCTGCCCGCGGGGGTAAGGCTATTGGGCCCGCGCCGACCTGCGAAGAGGGGGAACCCTGGGGCGGGGTGGTGTAGGGCAGCATCATCGATGTGCGCTGGGCTTCCCCCGCCTCCCCTCGCTGGGACAACATTCGCGACAAGAGGTTATGGGCGATTTTCGGCTTCGGGGGGTCCTCGCTGGTCCCGGGGACCGTCAACAAAACTGCCCAGGGCGAAAAGCTGGTCCCAGGGAAGGGGTCCAGATTTCTGGGGGTCGACGTTGAAACAAATCACGACTTCGGAGTTCCAGGGGCATGGCAGCCATGGCAGCGTCAGCGATGTATGGTGGGCTTCGACGCCTTCGACGCGACAAGGGGGTGGGGGCAGGCCAGTGGCCAGACCCATCCCGACAGAAATCCCAATAAATCTGCGGAGTAACCTCTCCGTCATCATGCTCCGCGCCTCCCGCGAGACTCCTTCAAGCATCGTCTTCGTCCTCGTCGTCGTCCTCCTGCTCCTCCTCGTCTTCCTCCTCCAAACTGGCCCCTCTCCCTCCTGCTTTCTCATTCCGCCCCTCACCCTGTGCTCCTCATTCCCGTCCTTCTTCCCGCCACCTGCTATTTGCAACTCTAGCGTTGAAGGGCCCGCCGTGGAAACGAAGCGAAGTCTACGGGCAAAACGGAGACCAATGCAAGAGCAGTGCGGCAAGCCGCCCCCTTCCAGTAGTTCAGCGATAACAACCTCAGCTGCGAATCGATCGACTCCTGCTCCCCGTGCCCTCGTCCACCCGCTCCCCGGCACTCCTCCTCCTCCTCCTCCTCCTCCTCCTCCTCCTCCTCCTCCTCTTCCTCCTCCTCCTCCAGCACCTCCTCCTCGACCCCCCCTTCCCCTCCGCCACCTCGATGTCTCCCTTACCATGCTGCTGCTGCTCCTCCGTCGCCTGCTCCTCCCCTTCCTCCTGCTCCTCATCCTCGTCTTCCTCTTACGTGCTCCTTTGCGCACTTTTTCGTCCCGCAGCCTTGCCAGGTTCGGATCTCGTCGGCGTACCCCGGCGACACGGTGAGAATACGGTCGCAGCAGATGATGCCCGCCTCCAGGGGATGATTTTCGGTGTGTGGCGGGGTCGCGAACGGGGAATAGCATGGGCATGGTTGGGGCTATCTTCCACGAGTGCAACACCAGTGGCCGCAATCCCTTCGCCAACCACTTGGGTCATTCAGCGTGTGGGATCTTGCCTCTCCTCGAACCCCTCCCGAAGGGACTCGGTCCAGCCGGTTTGGAGGGAGGCGGGGGTCTTGGGGACAAGAGTGCCATCGGCGCCAGCAGGGTGCCGATGGCCTTGGTCCTGCTCCAGGACAGGCTCCGACAGCTTCGATATGGCATCCGCAACCGTCCAACCTACCTTGCCATGTGTTCCGCGTGGCCCCACATGACCCCCCAACCCCCCACTGTGGTCTCAAAGCAGGTATGGGGAACCTGCAACATGTCTTTACAAATCGTGTGGACGACTCTGGCGAAGGCCCTGACAAGCAAACGTTGCCCCACTTCCTTCCGAAAACTGCCGTTTCAGCACGTTCGTTCGTTTCTGACATGTCTCTAAACGTCCAAGACTGCCGCGGGGGCGACCCGAGGCAGGCGAGGAGGCCCCCAGAAGGGCCCCAGGACAACCCAAGGTGGCCCCAAGACGGCCCAAGAGGCGCCGAAGACGGCCCACGAGGGCCTCGAAAGGGCCCCCCAAATGTCCAAACGACCCCCCTTGAGGGTCTCAGGCGGCCCCCAAACGGCTTCAAACTACCTTCAAGAGAGGGGGTGGGGCGATAGGTGAAAGGTTCCTCGGAGGTGAAAACAAATCTTCGCGCTCTCGGGGCCCTTGGTGCCTGTCTTCTGGGCTGCGCTGTCGTAGGATCGACGGTTGACGATCGAAGATCGATGGGGAACACGAGAACACGATGAATGCCACAGTCCTCGGGCCAACGAAACATAAACACTGCGCTGCCAAGGAGCCCTACATACTTATTGTTAGGGCCCGCGTGGCCTTTCCATTTTGTACCCTGCTGTGCTCAAATTTGCCATTGGCATTGCCCCGGGTGCGCCAGGATATGTGCCATACATCGAACGTCTTGGATCTGGGTCCACAACCGCGGGGCCAGCCTCATCAACTCGCCGAACCTTCGCTGGCGCCAAGCCATCGTCAGCCCTCTCCTCTCCTGGCGAATCAGCAGAATCATCTCGTGGAAACCCACCGAAGAAGTGTTCAGCGAGCACCTCGCCAAACACTGCGTCGTGACATCGTCGGCGGATCGTTGACGCAGCAGCTCATTGTACCTGGTGAGGAGTCTCTCAGGCCATCACTTTAGAAACTGTGTGGTGAGAATTTTATGCGCTGCGTACCAAGCCGTTCCCATGCCTGACAACGTACCCACGCAAACCATCTATGTCTATCTCCGCGCCCAGCTCTAGCATTGAGTCCTTGAGCTGCTCGCGCGGCGGTGGCACCGCGGACATGGCACCCTCGGGCGCCATGACGGGCACCGCACCTTTAATGGAAAACTGCCGGCGCTAGCACGCCTGCGTGCAAACCCGAACGGTCTGACCCCGCACGAACCAGCATGGTTGCAGATCTGGATGACTATCGAAAAAAGATACCGGGAAACAACAACCCAATCAAAGTCTTTTTAGGGCTATAGGGCTATAGGGCGATGGGGCTATGGAATTATAGGGCTATAGGGTCATAGGGCTGTACGTCTATGGGGCTATTGGACTATATGGCTATAAGGTTGTAGGGCTATAGGGCTATCGGGCTCTGGGGCTATGGGACTCTTGGGCCATAGGGAGTCTATAGGGCTATGGGACTCTAGGACCATAGGGCTATAGGGCTCTTGGAATATAGGGCTATGGGGCTGTAGCGCTATAGAACTATAGGGCTACAGAGCAGTAGGGCTCTAGGGCTCTGGGGCTATGGGGCTGTAAAGCTATAGGGATACAGGGCTATCGGGCTATAGGGCTATGGGGCAAAAGGGCTATCGGGATATAGGGCAAGAGGGATATAGGGGTATATGGCAAGAGGGCAGTCGGGCCATAGGGCTACAAGGCTATAGAGCAACAGGGCTCTAGGGATCTAGGACTCTAGGCCAAAAAGGCTTTAAGGCAGCAGGGCTATAAGGCTATAAGGCAAAAGGGCTATAGGGCCATTGGGCTAGGGGGCTAAAAGGCTACAGGGCCTTTGGGCTGTAGGGCTATAGTGCTATAGGACTGTAGGGCTATAAAGCACCCGGGCACCTGGGCACCCGGGCGGGCCACGGAAATCGGTGACACACCTCACCTAATCATATACATCCGCGAGGATCCTTACAGAGACAAGCTCTGATTGAGGAATCACACGCCTCGCTTGCGTACCCTTGTGCCCTCGAAAAAGTGCCACGTCGGCTACGCCCTGGGCGACTGGCACGGATACAGATCCTACCCCCTGCGCGCCCCCTCTGGCCTCGCCAAGGTGCCACGCTTGCTACGCAATGGACGACTGGCACGGATAGAGACCACCCTGTGCGTACCCCCCACGGTGTCAAAAAAGTGCCACGCATGCTCTTCGTTGGACGACCGGCACGGATAACGACTGCGCTAAGGGACCACCCCTGCGCACCCCCTGTGGCGTCGAGACAGAGCCGCGCCTGCTATGCCCTGGACGACCGGCGCGGGTAGCGGCTACGCTCAGAGACCCCCCCTGCGCACCTCCTATCGTTTCGAGACAGTGTCACGCCTGCTATGCCCCGAGCGATTGTCACAGAGAACGACCGCGCTCAGAAACCACCCCTTGCGCACCCCGTAGGGTGTCGAGAAAGTGCCGCGCCTGCTATGCCTTGGACAATCAACACGGATAACGACCGCGCTCAGCGACCACTCCCTACGCACCGTTTGATGGTGTCAAGAAACTGCTACGCCTGTGATGCCCTTGACGACCGGCATGGATAGGCGGCCGCGTTCAGAAACCACCCCCTGCGCACCCCTTGCGGCATCGAGAGAATGCCGCGCGACGACAGGCAAGGATAACGGCCGCGTTCAGAGACGACCCCGTTCGCGCACTCTCTATGGTGTCGAGAAAGTATCACGCCTGCTATGCCTGGACGACCAGCCCAGATAGCGGCCGCGCTCAGCGACCACCCCCTGCGCACCCTCAGTGGTGTCGAGAAAATGCCACCCCTGCTATGCCCTGGACGACTGGCACTGATAATGGCCGCTCTCAGAGGCCACCCCTTGCGCACCCCCTATGCTGTCAAGACATGGCGCGCCTGCGATGCCCTGGAAGACCGGCATGGCCATCGGCCGCGCTCAGGGACCTCCCTGTGCTCATCCCCCATGGTGTCCAGAAAGTGCCACGCCTGCTATTGCCCTGAACGACCAGCACGGATAGCAGCCGCGCTTAAAGACCAGCCCGGTGCGCACCCTCTGGTGTCGAGAAAATATCACGCCTGCTATCGCCTGGATGATCGGCACGGATAGCGGCCGCGCTCAGGGACCACCCCCTGGCACCCCCTATGGTGTCGAGAAACTGCCGCGCCTGCCACGTCCTGCGAATCCTACGCCTATGTCTTGTGTGGGGTGCGTGTCATGCGAATGCCTAGGTCTGCGTCTGCGTGTCTTGTGTAGGTATGTGTCTGACGTGTGTGTGTGTGTGTTTTGTGTGTGGACGTATCTCAATGTGGGTGCAGTGCTCGTGTTGCGTGCGTTTGGCTGTGCGTGGACGCGTCTCTCATGCGAAAGTCGCGTATGCGTTGCATGCGTCTGGTGCGTGTGATGCGTGGGGAGGAGGAGGATAAGGATGAGAAAGAGGAATATGAGTGCGGATGTATAGAAACGCGTGTCTCATGTAGGTGCCGTGTCTGCGGTGTGCGCGGGTGGGAGGAGGAACGAAGATGAGGAGAGGTGAGGGGAGGTGCGGGTGAGACGCGGGTGCGACGCGGGTAGGAAGAGAACAATAAATCCACGAAATCTGTGGGGAACCAGTTGGTCGGAAGAGTCGGAGGGCAGAGGGGGGGAGCACAGAAGGAGGGAGGGGAGAGGAGGAGAAGGAGGAGAAGAAAGAGGAGGAATAGGATCACACTAGCAAAAGGGTCATAATTACACCAGCCCTCTGGGCGTAGGTGGTCTAGGGAGGCTCCTCTTCCAGCCCCCTTCTTTCCCTTCGGGGACGGGTGTATCACTGTTCCCTATTGATATACACCCCCTCCCCTCGGCGACAGGAGGCCAACCAGGAACCATGATCACCCCCCGCCACCATCCTTGTCCCAAAACAATATAAGCGTGGCGAAAGACCCAACCATATGCAGTTGTGAAAGCCGTCTTCGTGAGTAACGCATTCGGTGGAGGGCCCTAGTGGGGCCACGAAGTGCTGTCCTGGGCGGGGGGGGGGGGGGGGCGCATGTGAGTACAGCCACTGGGGCTTTCGGTGGAGCTCCCCATGGGGCCACGAAGCGCTGTCCTGGGCGGGGGAGATGCATGCGAGTGCAACCACTGGGGCCTGCGGTGGAGCTCCCTTTGGGGCCGCGAAGCGCTGTGCTGGGTGGGGGATGCGCATGCGAACATGGCCAGTGGGGCCTGAGGTGGAGCTCCTTATGGGGCCACGAACCGCTGTCGTGGGCGGGGGAGACGCATTCGAACACCGCTACTGGGGCCTTAGGTGGGGCTCCCTTTGGGGCCGCGAAGCGCTGTGCTGGGTGGGGGAGGCGCATGCGAACACAGCCGCTGGGGTCTTCGGTGGAGATCCCTACGGGGCCACGAAACGCTGTTCTAGGTGGGGGAGACGCATGTGAACACCGCCACTGGGGCTTTAGGTGGGGCTCCCTGTGGGGCCACGAAGCGCTGTATTGTGTGGGGGAGACGCATGCGAACACCGCCACTGTGGCCTTAGGTGGAGCTCCAGATGGGGCCATGATGATGCTGCTGCTGATGATGATACTGTTGATGCTGATGGTAATAATGATAATGATGATGACGGTGGCGACGAGGAGGGCAGAGGCAAGGAGGGGGAGGAGGGAGGAGGAACGATTGAATGAAGGAACAAAGGAACGCGGGGCAGTGTTTCTTCAAAGCTAGG